GAACCCCTAAATTGGTGTAGAGCCTTTACACAATGGGAAGGTTCTACATAGCTTAAAATGGTTCTTTAAGGAACCAAAAGTGTTTTAAAGAGTGTAGTAAGAAATAGAAATAGAACCTATTTAGGTTCTGATGGAGCACCGAGGTGTAAATATCACAGAACATTCATAGTAGAGCTATTGTTCGCTAAACATTATCATAGTACCAGGTTCTGCAGTGCTCTGATACTGATTGTGACCAGCGTCTCAGAAGTTCCTCATATTTTCTGTGGACATTTTGATAATCAATCGATCAATCAATCAATCAATCAACCCTCATATAGACTAGAGCACACAGAGGACGACCCTCAGTCACAGACTGGCCAACTGTGACAATATAAAACCTACAGGGACTGAAAACAATATGAAATTGAATCAACTAAAACAAGAAAGACTATCAAAATTAGATGATCAATTAAAATGATTTAGTGAAAAATAAAAATGAACAAGAAACAAAATAAAAATAAAAAGACAAGGCAAGTTTATTTATACAGCACAGTTCACACACAAAGACAACTCAATGTGCTGCTTTAAATAATATCAAAAAGGCCTAAAAAGTTACGAAGTGCAACAGTTTAAAAACAAAGCTAAAAATTTGCATAAAAGCAAAATATAAACAAAAGGAAATTAAAGAAAAAGAGCTTAAGTGTAAATAAAAGTAGCTCCTTCAAAGTGCAATTCTAATAAAAGTGCATAATGAATAAAGTCTTAAAGCTCAATAACAGACATATAAAAAGAGAAAAATACAAAAAGTAAAACTAAAATAAAATATTATGTACCTAAAATACATAAAACTATCAAATTTAAGCAAACAATTAAAAATATTTACTAAAACAAACAAATAAAATAAAATCAAATCAAACAAAATTTAATGACTAAGATCAAATACGGCAGCTGCAATCTGAGTGGAGGTGGTTCTAAGAGATGCGGTTCTAGGAAAAACCTTAATCGGTATGGAACCATTATATTCTTGACACTTTAAAAAGGTTCTTCACACCTGCACATCTCATGTACAGCAATGGTTCCATGCACTGAAAGGTTCTTAAGGGAACCTGAAGTGGTTCTTCTATGGGAACCTTTCTGGCTCCTCGCTTTTTAACAGTGTGATTAACTGCAAATAACTCTGGCCAAAATAAGGCAGGTCACACTTCAACCTTCAGCATAATGACAGTATAAAACATCTCACACTGACCAATATGAGCCTAAGGTCACCATGTCCAGCGTGGGCTGGAGGGGTATAAAGCCCCCCAGCGTTGGGCTGTGGAGCAGTGGAACTGTGTTTTCTGAAATGATGGAGCTCCATCCAGTACCTTTGGGATGAGTTGGAGTGATCCTGGCCATCCAACATCAGTACCTGACCTCACTGATGCTCAATCAAATCCTCACAGCAATGTTCAACATCTAGTGTAAAGCCTTCCCAGAAGAGTAGAGGCTGTTACTGCAGCACAAACTCACTATAAACACCTTAATTTCAGGGGAAACTCTGAGGAGTCTCCAGACCTTCTGGACAGATTCTAGTGTTGTATAAGGCTCGAGTGAAGGAACGGCTGAAGGTGATTGGGTAAGGGGAAAGGCCTGTCAGGCGAGAAAGAGGAGGCCTTGCCTTAAAAAGAGAGAGAGGGAGATGCTTTCGTCTGATTGGTCCTCCCCCTTGCCTTTCAGGTCCTCTTCCAATCAGGGCTCAGTGAAGATTAGGAGGCAATGTTCCAGTGAAGGTGATTTGCAAAACAAACATGTCATTCTGCTAAGCTGGTCCATTTACTGCCCTGTGCATTCATAAAGATGTGGAGGTCTGCCCTCTTCTGGCCATCTGGAGAACCGCAAGGCAGTGATACGTGTTTTGGAAGCATGTTTTAAAGGGCCCATTTCAGGGAAAACTGACTTTTCCTTGCTTTTTCGAGAATAAGTGTTTGATGTAGTATGTAAACATTGTTACCATAGAAAATGTACTGTTCACACATCAGTCTATACACTTAAACAGGCTGTACCTTTAAGATGAGCTCTGTGCTGATTGGCCACTCTGTATTGTACCTCATTCAAAAAAGGTCCAGGCTGAAACGAAACTTCAGCATGGATGGGTGGGACTGAACTTTTTGTGACATCGCAAGAGCTATGAATTCAAAATGAGACAGAGTAGGGGTTGAAATTTTCCGTATGAAATGGGACCCTCTAATAAAAAGAGTATTACTTCATTAACAGCTACTAGCGCTGCTCTGTAGCGACCCTGCCAGTCTGCAGTGACAGCAGAGGAGGGTAAAGTTCAGCTCCTCACTGCTGGGCTTTAGTTACATTTAGGGCATCATACGCCTTCAAACAGGGGGGCAATTATTTATTATCACCCACCCCCAGTTCTTCAGTGATATGAAGCTGAAGTCAGATATTCACCAGCTTCTCGTTCGAATTTTCCTGTTCCACCTTAAATGGAGCAGCAGCTCTGAAGCCTGAGGTGCCAGAATGTAACTGCTGCTACATTTAAGGTGGAACAGGAAATTTAGCTCACTAGCTACCGAGACGTCAGCACTACTAGTGATTTTTTATGCTTATTATGAAAGAAAATGACCATAATACACTGAAACGACATTAAACTAAGATAATACGATTATCGTCATTTTTAACAGAGAAAATTCACAAATTTGTGTGTTTCTTTGGTCTCTCGTGCTCCATCTTGCCAGTTTGGAGTGTCTCTGAAAAACCTCCATTTGGAGGGTCATGTAGCCCCAACACTTTGCCTTCCCCCTCTATCTCAACAAGAATCACGACACCCTACCCTTAGACAAGAACGCACAAAACGGAGGGGTAGGGCTGAGTGGTAGGGGTGAGGGGTGAAATGGGGTGGGTTGGGCCTTAGTATGTATATATGGACTGTATGTTCTGCAGAGTGAACGGTACATTTTAAAACTTTAGCAATTTTTACAAACTACATTAAACTTTTACTTCAAAAAGGTTAGGAATAAACAGTTTTCCATGATATGGGCCCTTTAAAAAAATATGTTTTTTTTATTGTGAATATCACCCACTGTTAATGAAAACATGATATACACTGTGACGTTCATCAGGAGCGTTTGATAATGATGATTTCACCTCTCTTCCCCATTATAAGGTCAAAGTGGGGTTATTTCAGGATAACCGGCACTGCAGGTCTATATATGGACAGTTTTTGTTGTATATGATGGAGAATCATGTGACAGAGTCATGTGATTTTGTCCAGTTTCATCACCCACACACTGTGTGTCGGGTCAGCGGTGACAGAATGGAGGCCTTTGTGCAGAGCAGCAAGAACTGAACTCCGGGGAGGGGGTCAGTCACACTGGAGCAGGGGGTCTTGCGATGACCCTGAAATCTTTACTGGGCCTGTCATACAAATTTATATAGATACTTTCACCCAAAAATTCACAAACAGATGCATTTTTTTTACCAACAGACTTTGCAAGGTACCTTATTGTTCTACTTCATTTGAGCATAATATGAAAATCTCATGATGAATGGATTAATAGAAATGCTCCAGAACTGACATTAGTCATGACATAACTGAAGTCTGAGGAAAAACCACACCTAAAACAGTCCTTCACTCCTCTTTCTCGTGACAAAATTTCGCACCCCACCTACTCCCCCTGCTCCACAACTCACATGATCTTTAATATTTCCCCTCCTCTCATTATGTCATACAAGGTGTGGTCTGTGTATGTGTGTACATATATATGTGTATGTATGTATGTATATATATACATATACACTCTCTCTCTCTCTCTCTCTCTCTCTCACACTATCTATCTATATCTATATATGTATATATATATATATATATATATATATATATATATATATAAAGAGGGAGAGAGAGAAAGAGAACACACGTCTGAACATTGTAATACGCAATTACTGTTTCTTTTTTTCTAGAATGTAGTTAAGTAATCGAGTAATCAAGGGGCGGCCAGGGTTGTCTCCCCGTGTCTGCGTGGGTTTCCTCCGGGTACTCCAGTTTCCTCCCACAGTCCAAAAACATGCAGTCAGGCTGACTGGACATGCTAAATTGCGCTAGGTGTGTGTGTGAATGTGTATGTCTGTCTGTCTGCCCTGCGATGGACTGGCGACATGTCCAGGGTGTATCCTGCCTTCTGCCCAATGACAGCTGGGATAGGCTCCAGCACCCCAACGCGACCCAGAAGGATAAGCGGTTTAGATTATGTATGTATGTGTATACATAAAAAAATTGGCCTATGTTTTTTTCCATTGTATATATTTTGTATATATTTTTTAAATTTGTGTACTACAATGCACAGACTTAGGAGAATTCCACAATTTTTTCAAAATTCTTGCAAAATTCAGTGTGTGAGATATAAACAGAGTGATTCAGAGTGGTTTGGTGTGAAATGGTTCAGATGTCTTTACAGTGGTGGTGATAGGAACCAGGGGTCGCCATGACTACAACACAAATATAGACATTTTATTTACTTTCCAAAACCACCAGTGAACCTACACGAGTCTTCTGAGTTTATATGGAATGTTGATGATGGAAAATAGTGGAAAATCTGAAATAAATTAGATTTCTTTGGGGACTATTTTGCCTCATGTATCCCTCCACCATGAGTGGATTTCAAGGCCAAAAATCACAACAAAACTATTGTAAAACAGTCTCAGGCATCAGATAAGGTGGACATCTGGTTCCTATCACCACCACTGTGAACAATTCTGAGTTTGTAAGTTTCTCTAGAATGGAGCGTTTAACAACAAACCACTCTGAGTGACTCTTTTTACATATTAACCACTTAATTATGCAAAAATTTTGGGGAAGCAGTGGACTGCCCCTTTAACTTTAATATGTAATAAATATAATAATGCACTAACCTTTAAACATTGTTCCAGAGCTCGACTCTGTTTGTATGGTCATCTGCTGGGTAAACAGTGTGAAGTGTGTGGAGAGAGAGGGCGAGGCCTGCTGCTCTTGATAAGTTAATCATCCTCCTGTTGGCTGTTTGCTCTCAGAGCTGCTGCTGCTGGAATGTTTGCTGAGCGTCACATCCGTCAGAAGGGTTTTTTCCCTGGTCCAGGAAGTTCTCAGCTCTGAAGTTGAGGAACTCTGTAGTTTGGAGCTGGACTCTTCGTCTGATGGTCGCCTGATAGTTCATTAATCAGCGTCTGAGTGAAGATGGACGAGTGGACAACCTCAAAACTTCGCCTTTCAGCCCGAGACTGATATCTCCTCCCAGACGGACTTGTGGAAGAGAAGCTGGACGAGATGCTGCTGGTCAGGGTACTGCTGCTTGCGCTGTGCTTCTGGACGGGGCGCTGCGTTTACACAATCCGCCTGAAGAGCTTCTCTCTGGGGGGCTTTAGCTCCTCTGCGCTGCAGCTGCAGCTCGGTGCTTTACAACGGAACCAGACGGCGTCCGGGAGCGGCCTGTCTTTGGCGTCTGATCCATCCGGATCTGTCAACTTCTTAGACATGGTCAACAACCTGAGAGGAGACTCTGGTAGAGGGTATTACATGGAGATGGTCATCGGGACGCCAGGGCAGAAGGTATGTCACTTTTGAGCACTTAACTTTAACGTTAGGTTACTTTACATCGGCTGGGCGATAATGATAACATTCAACATCGCGATATTTTCTGATTATATCGCGATATCTCACGATATTTGTAAAGGAATTCCTTTCTTTTTCAACATTTGTGCATAATTAAATGGTTAAGCTATGTAGTGAGGGATTTGGTGTGAAATGCTCTGTTCTAGAAAAACTTACAGAGTCAGAATTGTTCACAGTGGTGGTGATAGGAACCAGACGTCCACCTTTAAAAGCTCCCTCACAGAAAGTTATTACATGAAATGGTTATTAATACACTGATGTCTGATGTCTGAGACACTGTTTTGCGATAGTTTTGAGAGAATTTTGGCCTAAAAATCCATTCATGGTGCAGGGATACATGCAGGACGCTGTGAGGCGAAATAGTCCCCAAAGAAAATTTATTATTGAATTTTTTCCCACGATTTTTTCATCACCAACATTTCATATTAAACTCAGAAGACACATTTAGGTTCACTGGTGGTTTTGGATAGAAAATAAAATGTGAATCTGAACCATTTCACACCAGACCACTGTGACTGTTACATCTCAACAGCTGAAGTATGCAGAAATTTTGAAAAATCGGTGGTGTTCTCCTTTAAGTAAGCATTAATAATGATAGTTCCCTCCTGCTTCCTCTTGGCTGCTAAATGAATGTCTTACAAACCTGAAATTGTGCATTTTAAATGACACACATTTTAATTGAAGGGACAGTTCACCCAAAAATCATGGTTACACAGTTGCTCACATAACTCAAACGTAGCTGATCAGCCACGTTTGGTGTTTTGAAGTTTGATTGCAGGAACTACAAAGCAACATAGCCTCATAGCTCCAGTGTGAACACTAAAGAAGCAAACTTGTCTTGCCTGAGTGAATGAATTTGGGGTGAGTGGACAGTTTTGTGAATTAGATTTCTTTCAGTGAGCGTTCCCTTTAACTGTGAGGTCCAGGTTACTATGATTGAAGTGCATAAAACAGAATATAAATTTAAAAACAATTATTTTTCTCAAATTAAACTTCACAGTTAATTATTTTTTTTTGGAAGCAACATTTAAAACACACACTGACAGCTGATGAGTAAAACAGCTGAGCAGCCTGATCCCAGACCTGTGTATGGGCATATTAAAGGGCTCATATCATGGAAAATCAAATTTTCGTCAATTTTTTTCCCTTTTTTGGGAAATAAAGGAGTGTGATGTAGTATGTTAACATTCAGTCTGTGCTCCATACGTCTTCCATTTTGAATCAAGTTTTTGTGATGTCACCTGTTCAGCTTAGAGCAGTTTAGCTCCGCCTAGTCATGCTGAATGGATGGGGCTAAACTGCTGTAGAGCTCATTTGCATATATCAGATTTAAAGACACAGTTACAAAAGCAGTCTGTCTGATCCTGAGGGAGAAAGGGAGGCTTGAAAATGATCATGTAGAAATAAATGATGACCAGTTTTAGTCTGTAAACCCACACAGACGTTATAAGTGGAGCTCATGGGAAATTTAAAGCACAGTAAAAGTAGTACAGAGGCTCTTTAAGGCTGCGGGTCTGAGGGCAGCATGTGACGCGAGCCGCTTTGCGAGTCCCCTCAGGCAGCAGGAGGGAGACTAAGACTTCCTTGATCGGTGTGCGGTGGGTATGAAAGCTCCGGCTCACATGAGTTCACATGATGCTGGGCCCCAGGCCGGAGCTCAGCTCGCTGAGCAGCTGACTGGGATTACCACCAAAAAGGAACCGTCAGGAACGGCGTCTCTGACTGTGTCTCGCTGCTGCACACGCTTAAAAATAAACACAGGTTCCTAAATAGTAGTGAAGCACTGATTATTAATTTTAATATCTGATTCTGCTTGTGGTCACTTTACAGCCAAATCAGCCAATATTTTAACCTGAAGCTCAAACTGTGTGGCTAAATGAGCACATTTAAAGCATATTTCCAGCACTTTCTATTAGACCCTTAATTTATTTATTTATTTCCTTTCACAACAGTCATTAAGTACAAGTTACTCATTCTGCAGTGTCAGGAAAACACATTTTAACTGGAAGCCTCAACAACTAAGTCTAATCTCCTCTCTCTCAAAGATGAAAGCTTTCAGTGCTGTTTATCTGATGGGGGGCAGTTTTGGTGTCTACCAGATTGTGGTTGGTTCACGTTGGTTGCCGTAGCAACGACACGTGTGCATACGCAAGCCTAATGACGATAACTAGTTAATAGAACGATCCTGTTATATTTCAGAACAGCGTTTCGCTTTTTATTAACTACCCATCGTGCCGTGAGTGTAGGCCGGTCTGGTCAGCAGACTGCTAAAAAGGAATAGGCTGTACCAGCTTGGGGGCTGAGGGGGCTGCAGCATTCCCAAATTCAGGATTGCAACTGTTAAAAATAATAATATTAATACTTTCTGAACTTTTAAATCATTTGAGTGTGGTGTGGAGCCATGTATGCTTGTTTTAGAAGGAGTTTAAACACACAAGCTGAGATACAAAGACAGAACGTCTGTGCAGAGTTACAGGCCAGTTTTAAGGCCTTTTTTAAAACTTTAAAAAGTCATCAAACATTATAATGAAGCTATTCTCAACTGTTTATCTCTCACTCAGAGTGCGTTTCAGTGTTATATCTCCCTACGTGTCTGTGGGCGTCACATAATCTCTCACTGCGGTACACATCAACAGTCTGATTGGTTGCCGCTCAGCTCATTTGCATAAAGTTTGTCCAGAGAGCAGAGAGATGATGTGCGTCAGTGCTTTGATGTGTTAGATCTATATATTATCCTCTCTCGCCTCATTATAGCACTGTATGACATGCCCAGTTTGTCGTAAATAGCAAAAAAATAAAATAAAATGAGAAAAGGCAAATCATTTTGCGTGACGTCATCGGGTCACATCTCATATACACTGCTTAAAATTTTATCACCACCAATCTAAAACACCTTCCCACCCGCGTCCCTAAGCAGAGCTGAACCCTCAGGGCTTTCTAGGTCATCAGAAAAAGGCTAATGATTTCTGGGAACTAAAAAAAAAAACTGGCTTTAATTTTTAGTTCATTTTTATTTAATAGAAAACTCTGCGTATGTTACAACACTGCATCATTGTTAAGTGTTACGTGGAAGCAAAAGGGTTAAATTCGTCAAGCATCCAGTGGAAAATTGGTCAGGATTGTTTTCTCTGTGGTGTCTAGGTAGATACAACTATGCAAGCTCTCCTGTTGGTTAGGACTTCAGGAGCTGTAGAGAAGTCCTGGCACGTTAGATTAACTATCAGCATAATTAGAAATGACAGAGGAATCAACCAGTCATGCTTTGAATCCAATGGTTGAAACCAGTTTCATGCCAAAACAGTCAGTTTGGTCTTTCTGGAAGTTCTATATACGTCAATGACTGAATATGGGCAGCAGTCTAATCAGGGATTGTTAGAGAATGTAGAAAGCTCTCACTACTGAAAGAGTCACTGTCTGTGTTTACATGCAAAGATTGTTGCCAATCAGATTGAATACATTCCAATTATAGATTAAGACTGAGGTGTTTTCATCTCACTCTACTCAACAATCTTTGTAATCTCTGTTTACATGCACTCTACAAGTAATCAGATCTAAAATGATGCACATGCGTAGAGAACCACTTAGTGTAGATGTTACCATGACAACCAGCATCACGTGAGTCCAGTCAGAGTGAGATGAGTAGCAGTGAGCAGTGCTTGTGTTTTTAATTACTCTATTAACTCTGTCCTGATTAAAGAAGGCCGAGAGGAAGACGTCGTGTTCTGAGACACATAAGCTGGACGTCCGTCCCACTGCCGTCTTTTAAAGATTTAAAGACGAACATGATCAGAACGTACTTAAACTTTCAGATTGGGAATGTAATCAGATACAGGCGTTTACACGGATATTATTCTTCTATTTAACGGATTATTTACAGGATTACCCACCTCGTTTAATCGGATAGTAATTGTTTTCTCAGTGGCCTGAATCTGACTAGTCTATTCCGACTGAGGTGTTTACATAGACATATTCTATTCCGATTGAGCTATTAGTCGGATTAATAACGGATTATTAGGCTGCATGCAAACGTGGCCACTGTGAAAATGATACAAGGTAAAATATATGCTAATGTCTCTCACAAGCTTCAAGTAAAACCAGGAATGTCTTACAGAATTTAATCTGGAACTGGCTTTTTTGAATTCTCTGTTTTACCATAAATGCTGCAGCAGTTACATTGTGAAGCCTAAAGGGGCCAGAATATAGCTGCTGCACCATTTAAGGCAGGACGGAAAATTTAAAATAGAAGCCTCATCAGATAGTGTTCAGCGACTCACTGTTAGCTTATCACTAAAAAACTGCTAGAATACTACAGGGATTCTAGCAGGTGTTCGCACTATTGTTGCGATTGTTTTTTCCTTCGTGTTTTGGCTGAGGTTTCACATTTATGGCCCAAATTGTAGTGAAGTATTGTCGTTTGACTTTCTCCTCTTTTTTTTTAGTGGGTTATCTTCTAATAAAAAATAGAAGATAGAGCTGGACGATATGGCAGAAATATAATATTGCGATACTTCAGGACTTTTTTACGTTTTCAGACACGTTTTTAGAATCTGATCAGTTGGAACAGAAAAAAGAATCAGCAGCGCTACATCTTTAAAAAATGCTATTAAAACTGAACACAATGATTTTTAATATTTTTATTTAGATTTTAATTTGGGACAAATTTTGCTCTCTTTATAATGAAACATGCAGTTGGTGAGTGTCTGCTAGTACTGGTGTTGTACACAGCATGTTCAGGAAAGCTTATTATTAAATTAAATAATCACAATAATTATAAATATTGCCATATTGCCCCACTCAGAAAAATCAGTAACTAGTATTTAAAGTCTCACTGCAAAAAGTGAACTTACCTTAAATTTAGTATTTAGTATAAAGTATTTCACGTTTCTCATTGTGAGATTGAGGTTTAACTCACTAGAATTCTTTGCTGGCTTTAGCTG